TGGATGAACATGGTAACTTGTGTTGACTACTTTCCTTTGCCATGAACAGATCAATGTCTGGACAGCTTCCCATTAGGTTAAAAATAGAGATCTGACATCTAGATGTAGTGAGTCAAACTAAACATTTAGCCTAGACAAGATTTACTTTCTTGATATAAGAATTTGATCCTAATACTTTGTTCTGACCTTAAGAGTGAGAAGCTAAGCCTAATCTATGTTCTTGAATTAAAGTAAAAGGTATCTAACCTGACTGTAAAAACAGCTATATATATAAAAGGTGCCAGAAAAGCTAGAACTTTACCATTCTACAAGCTGGAATAAACAAACTGTTTCTCCAAAATCCAGATTCCAAGTCTCTGAGTTTAGTCAAGTTTGTTATTGTTAGATATACACAATTGTTTCATTTAAATGTAATATGAGAGGTATGATTTAGATAGTAATAAAGCATGAGTGTTAAAGTAAGTTACTTTTATAAGTGATAGTTATGGCAGATTTTCTTACATAACTGTTTATGATTTATTTGTTGTGTAGTAGTTCATTTGCTGTGAATTGACATCATGTTACTCAAACCTTCTAAGTTTTTCTCTTTATTTCATTGAGTATTGTTATATCATAATGTTTTCTAGTTGATAGAAAGTTCTAGGCCTCAGTTGGGCAATATATATATATATATATATATATATATAGACAACGAAATTAAGATCTAAGTTAGTAAAAGTGAAGTTAGACTGTGTGTGAATTAGCCGTAACAGGCGATTTCTTAAGCAAATTTCACAGTTTGTATTATACTAACAGAGATAGAGGAGAATAATTTGTCTTGTCACAAGGTGTTCTAAAGTAATTTAACCCATCTGTGTGGACTTTGATGAAAAAGAGACTATTATTTAAAGCTCTGGATACAACTGTGATAATCGATAGTGTAAAGAATGTTCGTACATATGTGTGACTTGTTTTGAATACATAAAACAAGTGGATTGTGTGCTGTCCATTTAGTGTTGAAATTTATCCCCAACAAGTCACAAACACCTGCTGTAAAGAATCATGGTCTGTATAAAAACCTGTCATTGGAGAGCCAGCCAGGATTATACAGTGGTAAATGGCGGTAAAAGAAGACATGAATGACAGCAGAAGTAGGCCTATATTTGCCCAACTGTAGTGATGACGAAAATAGTGTAGAGATTACAATTATACTATATATCCATGTTGACTGATTTTGATAAATGGATAGAGAGAGGTGAGTAACTTGGGCTTAAAGATGGTGAATATCTATGAGGGTTTGTTAAAAAAAACAAAAGAACTAGAGAGAGAGAAGCATAGGCAGAGAAGAGAGGAAGAAAGACTGAAAGAAGCAAAGGAAATATATATAGAGAGGATAAGAGCACAAACTGAGAAACAAGAAAATGTGAGAGAGAAGGGAGAGACTGGAAATAGAGAGAATAAGAGCACAAATTGAGATTGCTAAGCTCACCCAACAGAAAGATGATGGACCCAAGAATGACAATGGGGTCAGGGCCAGCTGACCCAAGCTGCCTAAATTTGATGAAGAGAAAGACAACATGGATGATTTCCTGGAGATATGAAAGATTCACCCAAAGTAAGAACTGGGACAAATGTGACTGAGCAGTCAATCTCAGCCCACTTCTCACAGAAAAAGGCCTACAAGTGTATGCAGGCATGACATCAGAAGATGCCATGGACAAATTAAAGATGGCCTTGTTGAAACATTATGAACTTACTGAGGAAGGTTTTCCCTGGAAGTTCAGAGAAGTCAAACCTGACACTGGAGAAACTGTATTTCAGTTTGTAGCACATGTACAGTAATATTTCACAAGGTGGACTGACATGGCCAAGTGTGAAAATAGTTTTGAAGGACTGGCAGATCTACTAATATGTGAACATTTCAACTGAAATGTCACTGTTCCTAAAGGAGAGAATACCAAAAGGCATGAACGAGATGATCAATTTGGCACAATAGTATATAGAAGCCCATGGAGGGAGTATAACTGGCAAGTCCAAGAATAACGACTTAAAGTCAAAACCAGGGGTAGCTGACCAGAAACAGGATACCACCAAAGGTGACAAGAAGTCAAAAGACAGAATGGGGAAGAGATGCAGTGCTAGTTATAAAATAGGGCACATTCCAATAAGTGCAAGTCAAAGATGTGACCAGATTCTGCAGGTCATTTGACATCTGCCAAAGGACAACACCTAGAGAGAGAGTAGCCAAGGTGCCACTGGGTGAGATGCCTCTCATAGAAGAGCCATTCAGCAGAGTAGCTGTGGACTTTATTAGCTCTTTACTACCCCATAGAACCCTAGACATAATGGGTTTTGTGAGAGAGTCAGTGGAGGCTTAAATAGCATGCTAAAGATGTGCCAAGAGAGAGCATGTGATTGGGACAGATACCTGCAGAAAGTATTATTTGCTTCCCGAAAAGTCCCACAAGCAAGTACAGGATTTTCACCCCTTGGGTTATTGTAAGGAAGATCATTATGAGGTCCAATGCAGATATTGAAAGAGCTGTGGACAGGAGAAGAAAAATCAGAAGTGAGGAACACATACAGTACATGCTAGACATCAGAAACCAATTCAAGGAGACCTGTCAACTCGCTTGAGAGAGCTTGTATGCAGCTCAAGGCAGTCAGAAGCATTTCTATGACAAGAAGGCCAAAGATCAATGTTTCAAGGCCAGACATGTCTTAGTTCTGCTATGTATGGATAACAACAAACTCACCCTGCAGTGGAGAGAACCTTTTGAAATTCAGGATGTGGTCAACAGAATGGGCTGTAAAGTGAAAGTGGACAGGAAAAACCAAGATCTACCATGCCAGTCTGTTGAAGAGGTACTTTGAAAGGGAAGAAAAACCTAATAGGTGCAGCTGTTGAGGCACAGGTAAACATGGCAGGTGTGGTTGTCACAGATGCATAACCAAAAGAGAGTTCCTTAGTCATAGAAGAGGAAGACCTACTAGACCTAAGACCACTAGGTGGAGATGAGACATACAAGGACATCAACGTAAGTGAAGAACTGATTGGCAAGCAGAAGAAAGAGCTACAAAATCTACTGTGCCAGTACACAGACATCTTCACAGATAGTACAGGTAATACAGACCCGTGGCAACACAAGATCGAGACTACGACCAGTAATCCAGTCGAGATGAAGTCCTGCCCAATGCCATATACAATGAGAGACCAACAAAGGAACTGTAAATTTTAGTACAGACTATATAAGGAGACTTTGTGTATGAACTGAAATTAGTCTTTGTATATAGTGGAAAAAAATATTGCAAATGTTTTTCTTGAAGAAGGGCTTATTGTTAGACATACACGATTGTTTCATTTAAATTTAATAAAAGAGTTATGATTTAGATAGTAATAAAGCACAAATGTTAAAGTAAGTTGTTTTTAGAAGCATTAGTTATGGCAAGTTTTCTTACATAACTGTTTATGAATAATTTCTTGTGTAGTTCAATTGTTGTGAATTGATGTCACATTATTTGAATCTTCTAACTTTTTGTTGTTGTTTCATTGAGTATTGTTAAATCATAACATCTCTTAGTTGGTAGAAAGTTTGAGGCTTCAGTCAGGCAATATATATATATATGTATATTGGTGACCAAGTTAAGAAGTAAGTTTGTAAATGTAAGTTAGTGAAAGTGAAAGTAAAAGTAAAAGTGAAGTTAGACTGTGTGTGAACTAGCCATAATGGGCAATTTCTAAAATGAGTTTCACAACTTGTATTGTAATAACAGAGATAGAGGAAAATAATTTGTCTTGTCAAAGGGTGTTCTCAAGTAATTGAACCCACCTATGAGGACTTTGAAAAAAAGAGACAATTATTTAAAGACCTAGATACAACTGTGACAACCGGTAGTGTAACGAATTTTTGTACATACATTTGATTTGTTTTGAATATAACATTTTAAAACAAGTGGATTGTGTGCTGTCCATATAGTGTTGAAATTTATCATTAGTAAATCACAGATACCTACTGTAAAGAATCCAGCCCTATAAAACCTGACATCAGTAAGCAACCACACTTTTTTCCCTTTCTCTAAAAGTAATATAAACAACAATAAACTACAAGCTATTATATAACAACAAGAAGAATCTGGTACACAAAAGCTTTATAAAGTTTAAAGTTAAACATATCAACTTGCATTTTATGTATAGTTTTATGAAAAGCTGGTGTTAGAATTGATCTGTTTAAATTAGTAATTTTGAAAAGATCAATGCTGTTTAGTCAGATTACTAAGAATTTTTCTACGTAATGCAGTGAAGCATTATCTTTTACTTTACAACCTAACTTTTAAATTCCACATGTTAACAATTCAAACACAGATTGTGTTTACATAAAAACTAGTAAGTTTAAAAACTTTCACATCTGAAGAAGATCTAACTATCAATTAAAAATATAGTTTCTGAAGTGCTACTCATCTCTCTTCACCACAAAGAACTATTGTCTTGTATGCACTGCCCTATAAATTTCTGTGCACACCACAAACCTTGAACAAAGCTCAGGCTAAAGTTTTACAAGTGGATTGAGAGTGTTCCAAAATTAGAACTTGAAAGGCTTAAAAGTAAGAAATATACATTACAAGAGAGTAAGATATGTAGTATTTGCATACTGCAATCTCATGTTGATACTTGTATTCTATAAAGTACTAATATATGATAATTTACTAAAGTCAAAATTTATGCTATAATTGTACATTTTTGTATAAACTTATGAGTATTGTGTAACTACCAGAAGTGGCTGGTACACAAAATTATTTTACAAAGTAAAGTTAAACATACCAACATACATTTTATATAATAGAGAAACTTAACACTGAAAGTTGATGTTTGCCACTGACTTACTTAGGTTGAGAAAGGTGAAAAAACAATGCTTATTATTCATATAGCGTAGTGTTTTTCTAAATAATGTAATGCAATATTGTGTTTTACTTAATAATCTGGAATTTGTTTACACTATACTTTAATAATGTATTTCTTTCAGGTCTCTATATTTTACTGAGTGTGAAAGGTCCTTGGAGCAAAGTTGGCTACAAATATGATGCTGTGCAGTTGACAGACCTAGTCTATCTTCTAGATTATAACTCAAGAAATGAAAGAACAATTGAAAAGAAACTAAAGTATTGTGATCCTTATCTACCACCTGTACCTTACCCTCCACCTGTACCCTACCCTCCACCTGGACCATCTCCAAGTTGTCCTTCAGTTCCTTATTCCTGTCTCAACTGTCATCATGACATAGACTATAGATTGGAAGAAATTATTTGTACATTTGATTTCAGTAAGTTCAGGCATAACAAAACATTGTTGACCTACATTGTATTTAAATAACTATTAAAATAGTTTTACTATCCTTCTTTTTTAAGTTTATAAAAAAAAATGCTTTGCCATTTGTACATAATTCTTTATTGGAATAATAACGCAACCATCTAATGTAAAAATAGTGTATTTTCATCTACAATTTAAGGCAGCCTCACACCATTATTCTAGTTTGAGAGTTTGTGATATCCTTTTTCAAACATCAGATTTAAAATTGATAAAAATAACTTTCTACCTAATTTCTATCTCAGTGAAGTTGCTGGAAAATATTAATCAATCTCACCTCACTGTCATGCTTTATTACAGAATAAAATTTGCTGATAAGAATAATTTTTTGTATGGTTTTCTTCTTATACAGAAGTGCTATAATTTACGATGGGTTCATTAAGTTTATTTGATTAGATAAATTTCTCTTTTTTGAGGAAGAGAACTGAGCCAATGATGTCTAACTGTGAGCTCTGACAAGAAAAGAATACTAAGAATTAGAATATTTTTCTAAAACACTGAGATTGTTTCACAATGATGAGAACATGTTACGTGTTGTGTTAGATAATATGGTTACAATTTCAAATTTTGCTGACTGTATGCTCTCAAAGAGTACCATTTGCACAAGTTGCAAATGAGAAAAATCTGTTTACTTTTTTGAGAATATTTTGTTAAAATCCTTTTTTACTGTCATTAAACAATACACAATAAATTTATTTCTTATATCTCACTTAACATTACTGAATACTTGTTAATGTGATCCATTTTTGGTGTGAGTTTGATTAATTGTATTGAAAAAGTATGTCATGTTTTTTTTTTTCTATTAGATACTTTGTGTGTTAGGAAGGTAATTTTCAAGTATTTATACAAAATGTGCTTTAAACCAAGCTATATATGATTTTAGTTAAATTATGAATATCATATTTAACGATAAATAATTTGTTTCTCAGATTTCAGTTTATGGCTTTTCTTTAGGTTTACTATGAAAAATGATAAAATATTAATGGTTGAAAGACAACTAGAGGTATTTAAACATTGAAACCTGGTCTAGTTTTATTTTATTCTTGCATACATTTTTATATAGGTTATGTTAAGTTATTTATTGTTTCGATGTCTTTACAGTCATTTGATAAAACATTTTAAGTTATACAGAAATATTTCTATGCATATTATTCAACTTAATGAAAACATGAGTTTCAAGATTACTCAAATCTCTTGATATTTTGATCATAGTTCTCCAAATTGACATCAAGACGCTTCCTGGTTCAGGTAAGTAATCATATGTAATTTTTCTGACAATTTAAATACATTCATTTTTGTGAATCTCCTAGAATGAATTCAAATAACTGTAACATAATAATGATATGTTATGTTTTACAAACATACATTTACAAATATTATTAGTGTAAAAGTTCACATTTTAAAAACATAGATACAAATATACATATATATATATATATATAAATAAACAAAAACAAGCCCAACAAAAATTATATTAAGGATGCTGCATAAGTTAAAAGGATCCCCAGGGTACAGGCTATAATGTGCGATATGAAATGTGCCCTGGATTTTAGAGGTGAGTGCAGAAGTAGGACCCACATTGCAGTGGGGATACACCATCTATCAGTCTTAACCTCTGTTTGCCAGTTTCAGTTGTGTGATATTCTGTTTCAAACTTCAGATTCAAAATTGATAAAAAAAACTTTCTACCTAATTTCTATTGCAGAGAAGTTGCTGTAAAATATTAATGAATCTCACTTCACTCTCATGCTTTATTACAAAATAAAATTTGCTGATGAGAATAATTTTTTTGTATATTTTTCTTCTTATACAGAATTAGTTTTTCCTCAAGTAAGTTTCTTGTGTAACCTTTAGGAAAATTGTAAATTGTAGTAATTTATAACCATTTGATTATTTGATACATTCCCAGGGGACATATGTTTTAGGTGAGTCTAAACAAATGCATTTTATCATAAATAAACTTTATTCAGTCAATCTAATATTTTAATTTCAACAAAGGAATATATATTGAGTTTTGTTTGTTTGAAAGCTAAAATTTTATTTTATAACAACATGTGCATTTGAGTTATAGATATATAGTAAACAGAATCGGAAAAGAAGTGTTATAATTTATGATGGGTTCATTAATTTTATTTGATTACATAAATTTTTGTTTTTTGAGGAAGAGAATTAAGCCAATGATGCCTCTTTGTAAGCTCTGACAAGAAAAGAATATTAATAATTAGAATATTTTTCTAAAACACTGAGATTGTTTCACAATGATGAGAGCTTGTTAGGTGTTGTGTTAGATAATAGGGTTACAATTTTAACTTTTTCTGCCTAACTTCACAATTACTGAGATTTTGTAAAATTTGTAATAAATTACAATATTCATTATGAATGTTGAAATATTGATGCAGAAATTAATATTCAATGGATTTAATCAAGAAACTCTAAATAAAATGATTAAAATATTATGTGAGAAATATAAAAATCTATTAAATAAATATATAAAAGTAAAAATTAAGGAGATTTTGCTGAAAGTTTCCGATAAGTATTTTTAGTTGTTAATAAGGTTATTTAAAGATCTTGGCACTACTTTTATGCAGATGAACACCTTATCACATATATATAGGCTTGTGTAGAGTCTTAAAATTGTAGTTACAGTGGATTTAATGGGTGGTGGTTGGGAGTTATACTAGTTAGTTTAGAAAAGTTGTTTGGTATTCTATACTAGTATAATTTGTATAATTAGTATAATGTGTGCTACTAATTAGTGTTTTACTACTATAATGGGGGATAAAATGCCAACCTCAGGAGGTAAGTTTATCTTACTTACCCCAAAGTGGTAGTACCTTATTTCATATTTTATTTATTTATTTCTTTTTTCGTCATTTACTTTGGAGAACAGTCACTTTCTCACAACTGTTTGCAGGCAGTGAAGGATGATGTAGATGTGGGATGTTGTGATCTTGAGGACCCACATCTCACTCTCCTAATTTCTATTTCTTTTGATGATTTTATTTTATTTTATGAATTTCTTCATGTGAGACTGGTGAATGGAGATTAAGACTGATAGACAGTGTATCCCCACCACAATGTGGGTACTACTTTTTCAGTCACCTCCAAAACCCAGGGCACATTTTATATCCCACATTATAGCCTGTACCCTGGGAATCCTTTTAATTTATGCAACACCTTTAATTTAATTTTTGTTTGGACGGCAGTCCTTCCTTTTGATTTAATTTTGCTTGACTGTTTAAATATAATTTTCTATAAATATATATGTATAGATATATTAAACCTAAAGTTTATTTAATAAACTTAATTAAGAGTTTCTTCTCAGTAAAA